GTATTACACCCTGAACCCTGAATCCTCGTAGCAAACGAAGACAGCAATAGCAGAAGAAGAACTTGCGTTGCCCATCTTGTCAACAATAGCAGTGGTCACAGTCGTAGTAGGAGCTGGCGTAGCCGTAGCCCTAGCGATAGCGGCAACGGTAGCAGAAGTAGTAGCAGCAGTGATAGCCGTAGCGAGCAGCAGTAGGTAGCAATGGTGCGAGAACTGCTACTGCCAAGGTGGACCTGAACCAGGGAATGCTAAACGAACTTCATTCGGGCTCCTTGCCGTTCTAAAGTTCGAACGTTGTGTCTACACCCAAAACCCAAAGCCTGCACCCGGGCACCCTAATCTAGGGCTGCGCACTCACGAAGGAAGAGATCGAGAGCCCTTCATGTACCCAGATTTTGCACAAAAACGTTTCGGCTTCCAGGGAGGACAAAACCATGAAACCTAAGGCTCCTTTAAAAGGGTCCCACAAGGGTTACTATAAGGGATCTAAAAGGGTACTATAGTATAGGGGCCTTCATAATTCGAATAAGGCTCCTTTAATAAACCCGGAATCCCGAGCGGCCTGGACTTGGTGCCAAAGCGCTTTTGTCTGCCTCCTCATCCGTCTTCGACCCCTGCCAGGTCCGCTGATCAGAATGGACAGCGCTTAATAGAGGACCTTAATAATTATAGACTAGAATAGGGCTTTTGAGGCCCATCGTATTACAACTATAGTAAGGAACACCCAAAAGATGTTAGGTAATCATTAAGGCCCCTATATGACCTAAACCCCAAACCCTCAACTTTTCAACCCAAGTTTCGTGCGCGGGGCGTGTGTGCAGGTCAAGATGCAGGGGCTCCGAAAGACTCATTTCAAATCAAATCCACACAACCCCCAACAAGTCGGTGGAGCTGCCGACCGCCCTGAAATACTACAGCGGCCGTATTTTAATTACAATAGGCTTTTGGGGTCCATTATACTTTCACTTTAGCTATAATAAGAAACGCCCCAAAAATTGGTGTAGGTAGTTATTTAAAGGCCCCTATATGAACCTGCACTCCACCGTGCGATCTGGCCGTTTTGTCTGCAATCTCAGGTCCTGAAAGCCTGCAACCCCCATGACTACGCGACAACGCTGGAGTCTGACACCCCAGCCGCAAGTTTAGGGTTTAGGTTTTGTTTCAGGGTTTAGGGTTTAGTCCAAGCAAAACGGAGTCAAATTCACGAACAACTGCAGTGCTGCATCTCAGCAACTCTAGTTGCTTCAAACCAAGTCGCACAAAAATCTTGTCCGACCTTTCCACACAGGAGACTTGAAACCACCCACCAAGACCGCTTCCGATCTTTTCAGGCCGAAGCCCTCAACCGTCGACTCAAAGACCCCAAACACCGAACTCCAAACCCAGTAGGTTTTGGGTTCTTTCCTTTTTACGCGACCTTTTCTTTAAGGGCAGGTTTTAGGGTTAAGGTTTAGGGCTTAGCTTTCACCCCTGAACCCTCTAAGGAATCGCGAAAGCCGGTTCAAGCCTGAGGAATGATAAGATGCTTCCATCCTACGACGCGCACCAGCTCAAACTCGGAGGCCTCAAAAGGTGGGATGAAGGTAGGTGGGATATTCCCACATAAGAGTCCTTATATAAAGGATCCTTAGTCCTACCTACCTTCATCCCACCTTTTGAGGCCTCCGACAAACCCATCTCCAGACCCTAAGGCGCTTCTGGTGATCACCAGAGAGTTGGAACATCGTGATACTGATGCCCCTCGGCTATTGTTTACTTAAGGTAAAGTACAGCAATCCTGGCGCTAGGCTTCAACATTCTAGAGTTTGCTGTAAATTAGTAGTTAACGCTTCTGCCCCAAACCGTAGACCCTAAACCTCATCAAGACTGTGTAAAGCCCGCAAACGGCAGTAGCCTCGTCCTTGCTGGAATTCCCTTCGCTGGTGCTTGCTGACCTCCGCCGGCGAGAACGAAGCGAGGCTTAGAAAGGCCTCTCTAAGGGTTGCAGAACGGGAGTAAGGGGGTTCTGTTCCAAAACCCTGAACCCCTAAACCATCTGGGATCCCTGCGTGTATCTCGCCCGGATCGTCCACAGTGACTGCTTAATTATCCTGAAACCTCAATCCTAAGCCCTAAACCCTGAACCCTAAACCGTGCGCCTGTCGTCACGATCTGCGACAGTCTCGGGCTTCTCGGGCTCAGCTGCAACCTGCACTTTGTGGGGAGGAGAGCTTAAGGTTCAGGGTGTGTAGGGTTTTCGGTTTAGGGAGGGTTCAGAATTTAAGGCTGGGGGTTTAGGGATGGCTTAGGGTTTATTCCACTCCAGAGAGCCAAGGAAAGAAGGTCTTTGTGCAGACTGCTGCCCAAACTATAGGGATACAGGCTGACGAGGCGTTGCTCGCACTACGGCCCCTAGCATAGGGATGCTAGGAGATCTTGTTCTCCAACTGTCGGTCTCATCAGGTTAGGCTTAGCCTGGTGCAAGGCCTCGTTTCCAGATTCCCTGCAGCAGTCGTTCTCGGTGCGCACTCCACTAACCTTGCAAGTGCAACCTCAGCATGAAAACCCTGAAATTTTGAAAGGCCCCTAGCCCCCATCTTGTGCAACCTGTCTCCCCGCCAAAAAAGCGTACCCAAAGCCCAAAACGCTCATCAAGACCGAAGCCGCCATTGACCATGATCTGTCAAGCATAAGCAGCAAACCCAAGCTGTTAAAGGAACCCTCATGGGGTTGTTCCTTCTGCTTAATATAATTACTCTAATGATTATACTTACTAAATATACTTACTTTGGTTACTATAATTACTAAAATTAGTATACTTACTATAGTTACTATAATTGCTTTATAGTTACTACAAGGATTCTTTGATTCCAGACCCTCAAGTCCTTGCTCCAAAATTAACCCAAGAATAACACCTCAAGCCCTAGAAAATGAGCCACGGTTTAGGGTTCAGGGTTCAGGGTTCAGGGTTTAGGGTTCAGGGTTTAGGGTTCAGGGTTTAGGGTTCAGGGTTTAGGGTTTAGGGTTTAGGGCTGTGGCTGTTGTAGGGTCCCCAATCGTATTCTAGGATGCCCTGTAACCTGGGAATAAAATGGGCTCCCTCTTTGGTACTGGGATAAGGAACCTAGGACGACAAAAAGGGAATAGGGGTACTACTGGGCATCCTAGTATTCTGAATCGGTAGCAATACAAGACAATTCTTTGAGTAAACTCCCAAGTAAGTTCCTCAGAGTGCCACCTGTCACCTAATCAAAACACAAACCGACCCTAAACCTAAACCAGCCTAAACCCCAAAACCAAATTGACAAACCCTAAACCTTGGGTACTGCCCATACAGTCACAGTCTATAATAGGGCTACTATTAAGGGCCCAATATATCTATAATATAGAATATTATCCAACTGTTACTGAGAGGGGGCAGTACCCAACCTAAACCCTAAACCCTGAACCCTAAACCCTAAACCTTAAACCCTGAACCCTAAACCCTAAACCCTGAACCCTGAACCCTAAACCTTAAACCCTGAACCCTAAACCCTAAACCCTGAACCCTGAACCCCAAACTCTGAGCACCAAAAGAGCAAAGCTCGACTCCGAGCCTTCGCAGGGCCCTTCCCCCGCAAAGCCGCGGCGCAACAGCAGGCGCAGCAGCAGAGCCTGATAAGGAGGGCCAGTGGTCTTGATGTGGGTTTGGGGCTTAGGGTTTAGGGTTTCGGGTTTGGGGTTTAGGGTTTAGGGTTTCGGGTTTGGGGTTTAGGGTTTAGGGTTTCGGGTAGCAGAGCCTGATAACGAAAGCCACTGACTGATTTGAGTAGGATTTGGGGTATCAAGTACGATCTATTGAAGGAGCCAAGGAACTATTTATTCCCAAGACCCTCCATCTACCCTGTAGTAGACCAATGCTACAAGGAGGGTCCTGGTCAGGAGTCCATGTTTGGCTTCTTGGGGCTTTCAGGTTTTGGGGGTTTTGAGGAGTCTGCTCTCCGGTCCTGTTCCTACAAAACGGATTTAAGGTTTATATGGGGGTTTCCGAAAATAGGTCTCGGGAGCACGGTTCGAGCTAGAGTCGCAATGTGCCCTTGGTTGTGTTGCGATCGACACCACACAAAAAGTCCAAGTTAAACCCTAAACCCGAAGTGGCCAGGAAGGATATGATTCGTAATGGACCTCCAATATTTTCTACAGATTCCTCAACGACGCCTAACGGACAAGTCACACTTTTCGATGCTGGCACTTGCAATGAGAATGGGAAGGTTCCTTCCATCGCAGACATGAGATTTCAAAGCGAAAACAACTATTCAAGTAACTATCTACTCCATTTCGTGACGTCTACTGCACCAATGTCAGATCTGCGAAAAGGAATTCGAAAGATATATTCGGAGAGAGCCGTAGACATTGGCAGGCGCCGAAGGCGAAGTCAACGGAGCCGACCAAGGAGCAGACGCATCTGAAAATGCAGCTACACCTATGTGAAACATATATTCAATTGGTCGAAGGCTCATGCTTTGCAAAATGCTTCGACCACGGGAAGTGCTCGGCCGCAAATGAGGAACGGCTCGAAGCATCTGACAAAGCTCCCCGATCAGAGCTTCTTGAAACACACGGAAGGGGAATCAGGTTAAAAGTAATACAGGGGCCTCATTAATTAGAATAAGGTTTGGGGGTCATTATACTATAAATACAATACGGAACTCGCAAAATAGTATCGGTAAAACTTTAGGCCCCTATATTAAAACTAAAGAATGAGTCGGCGACGAAGCGGGCTAAACTAAGGCCATGCAGTACACTGCAACTGCATATGCCCCCGCTGCATGCCTGGAGTGTCAAGTGGATCAAACCACATTGGCTCAAATTTCGCCACAGCCGGTCAGTCCTCACCAGATCCAGACACGACGTCATACAAACCAAGTATGATTAGTACATTTACGATCAGTAGTATTATCAGGCATGGTGAAGCTGGCTGCCTCAGCGAAGAGTGTGTCACGGGAAGCGTGCGGCCTCGATGAGCTTTGACGATTCGACGATCAAAACAAGGGGCCAACAGAGAGCCACTTGGCCTCTGAGTCCACCGGGTGCACGCGTACTTGCGACTTGGTAGAACCGGTCCAGACTTCGCCAAAGAAGGCTTCGCGACGCCTTTCAACCTGCACCTGGAAGGCCTCTGGGTTCTTGGCAACCTAGATCATTGTTGGGATAGGATTAAAAATGTACATCGTTATTCCATATTGGGCTTAATTAAGTACCCATAAAAATCCAAAATGATACCCAACTATGACAAAGAACACGAACGAGGTACTTGTCGAGCTGACGGACGTAGAGCTGGTGCGTAGTGGCGTCTGGTGGCTGGACGTCCTGTGGCGGTGCAGGAAATGTCTTGGGCACGTAGCAAACCTTCTGACTGGCGCAGCTTCCACTGCACCCCATGGCTGCACCTGTACAGGCTTGGCTTAGCTCTGCTTCTGGGCCAAAAAATCTCTTACTGAACTGCTCGTGCATTCGCTCGCGTGCGAACCCCTGGCAAGTCCGTCACTGTAGAAACTGTCAGGCTCATGAAATTGCCGTGAAGTACAGTGCACCAAGCGGCAACGGGATCCACAATTTAGCCCTTCTGCAATGTGTTCCGCGCGCGCGAAACAGTTCTTCGAACCCTTCGAACCTCCATCCGAATTTGTGTAATATGTTTGGAATCGGGTTTGCTGTTACAGCAAAATTACACTAATTAAGGAACCCGAAGAGATGATACTGACTGAGGCCCTGGTCCTACATCATTGACCTATAAGCCCAGAAGCATCCTGTAATAGGAAGACAGAACAGGGAATCTCTTTCTAACTTGCCATATCTAAGCATAAGACATAAGATCTGCAAATGCATCTTGGTATGCACACACGTAGGCACACCTGCACGGATGGATGGACGGATGGACGGATGGACGGAGGGAGGTGGCCAGACATACATGCAAATCTGTGTGTATATATATATATACACATATTATCTATATGATATATATATATATATATATATATATATCTGTGTGTGTGCGTATTATCTATATGATATATATGTATATATGTATATATGTATATACGTATATATATATATATATATATATATATATACATATATACATATGCGACTCTATATATATATATATATATATATATACATATATATATATATACACACACATATATATATATATATATATATATATATAAGATATGTATGTATGCACTTGTACGTGGAATGTGGCGAAGTAAGAACTGGGAGCATCTCAGCCTCCCGGATCCGGTGTTTGCAGTAGGGTCTGTCGGGTTTAGGTTAGGGCTTTTTTAAGTGTACTGGCCCTTTAGGTTAGGGTTTAGGGTTTCGGGTTTAGGTTTAGGGTTTAGGGTAGGATGTGGGCACTTGGAGGTTCAGGGGTAGTTATAAGTAGGGTTACAAGTCCCTTAATCAGGGTTGTAAGTATAGTTACCCTAGTTATAGCCTAAGTAGCCATGAACCTCCAAGTAAGAAGTAAACAACCACCCCCCCCCCCTCCCCCTCCCTCCCTACAAAAACAAAATCGAAACTCAAATCGAGACCCCGGCAGCAGTGCAGCAGCCGAAGAAGCCGCTGCGACCATGCCAAGGGACAGATTCTCACCTCGTTTCATCAAGGCTTTTGGGCGCGTTCAGGGCCTGACGAGTGAGTTTGCCGGGGGCTGCGAAGGCTGTTCAAGCGCTCACGGAACGGAGCCCTTGGTTGCATCGGTGCTTTGTTTGATGGGTTAAGGTAGGGTGGAGCATTTGGGGATTAAGGACATGTTCTTGGGAAGATTATACTTGGGCGGCCCTTTGACTTCGGAAGTCATAGGGCGTAGGGCGGGAGATACTCTGTAGGATTACAATAATGCAGGAACCTGATTAATTAAGAAACCCGGGGCTTCTAACCCCAAAATAGTAGGATTCATATAAGGAACCAACCCTAATAAAGGCCCAAGGTTGCCTAGCCAGGTTCCTACATTACAGTACCTGGGAGCTTTCAGGATTGCACACTCCACTCAAACCCCTAGAACCTCAACACTTTACGGTTTAGGGATTGGGGCACTGGGAAAGAAAGACGCATGCAAGACGTCCTACAATGAGCTAGGCAACCTTCGCATAGACATGCACAGGTGAGCCGGTTGCGCTTGTCTAACTTCAAAGACCCTGATTCCAATGTTGGTGATATAAACCCTGCATTACCTTAAGGACCCAAACTATGGGAATTCTGGTATATTTCTTATTATGGGTAATGAAGGATTTATATCATCAACCGTATTGATTAGGGGTCTGCAGAAGGAGTTCGAAACGTTGCTATTGGCCAGCGAAAGGGCTACGCTGAACAGGAGGATCCTTAGCACAAACCTGTCAGGCCAAGGGCAAAAGACAGCTGCCTGCACTATGGTTTGAAGAAGCTGAAAAGACAGCTGCGAAACCGAAGAAACCGCCACAAAAGCCCTGCCCTTATTAGTATTGAGCCCATAAAAGAGCAGCAAACACTATCAGATACCAGTAGGGCCGTCATGATTGGAATATAGTGTTGGGCGTAGATCATACTGTACTTGTATATCCGGAACTAGACGGATTTACTCTTCCTGATTTATCCTATAAGCCTGCAATAGAACCTTTATTTACGAATAGTTTAAGTCTACCACCCAGTGACTCCAAAACCCCTTGCTTGAGGAATATACTAATTATAGACCTTGCATCCTAGAGGGCTCCTATTATAGTTTGAGGTATATTCCTTCATTCAAGGGTATTGGAGTGTCTGGGAACTCTGATGTCGAGGCTCTTTCCGGCATGTCGGCCAGCGTCTGTGGAGCTACCGCCTCGCCCAAAACCCTAAACCCTAAACCCCAAACCGGCGCACGATTTGCAACGGGGGCGTCGTTTTAAGGGCCTCTCTCGTCGTGTACATAAGGGCTTTGAAGCTCAGGGCCTTATTTATAGGGTTTTACAAGGCTTTTCGCTTCGGGGCTTACGGCTTTAGAGCTTTATAACGCTTCATAAGTCTTTCTAGCCTTCAGGGGTTTATGGTTTAGTGGATTAGGATGGTTTCGGATAGGATCTGATGGCTTTTATGTGTGCATATGCTTTGTTGTACATTGAAGCTCCCTTCTCTGATAGAGGATTTGGGGAGGCACTCGACGGATATGACTCCCCTTGTCCAGGATTCTGGGTTTACAGGGTATGTGTTTGAGGAATTTAGAAGCGTACGACTTACCTAAACCCAAATGCCCTGAACATCAAACATTGAAACCCCCGTTCAAACTTTGGGAATACACTAGGTTTTGGGGCATAGTATGTTGTAGCATACACAAGGGAGAGAGCAATCACTACTGCCACCAGTGAATGCTCAGACCTAAAGCCACGTTCGGCTTGCACCAGTTGGGTTTACAGCGTTTGAGGACTCAGCCTTCAGCTGAGGGTTCAGGAATCCCTAACCCGTTCTGCAACCGACGCCGGAAAAGTTGGCGGGTATTCCGTAAACTCACTCGCTCACCTGTTTCCCGATCTTGAAAGCACGCTGCTGACCCAGTGCCCGGTCCCTAAACCCGATAGTTCGCAGCCCTCCCCATAATCTCCATTGTAGTTCCTTTTTTTGATTAACCAAAATCTCTACTATAGGATCCTAACCATAAAACTAGTTAACCAAAAAAACGAACTACAATGGATACTATGGGTAAACCCTGCAGCCGATGACTTTGCAGCCGATTCGAACGAGGTTGCGGCCTAATTCCATGACCCCTAGCCATAAACCCTAAACCCTCTGTATTCGAAAGCCTGCATGGTGGGCGCAACGCACTGACAGACCCTCTGGCTGCGAGGAGTCGATCCCGAACCTCGGATAATTCGGGTTTGGATTAGGGATGATGCTTCAGGGATTACGGTTTAGGGATTCGGGTTCAGAACTGAGGGTGTCGGCTTTGAGGGCTGAGGGGTTGCGCTAAGAGTCTGCAGGGCTTGCGGTTCAAGCTTGAGACTACAATGTCAAGGTAATTTAGGGTAGAAGCATTTGTCGACTTGAGGAAGTGGAATCAACAGGCCTTCTTGTGGCTCTCGTAGACTACGGTGACGATCCCTCTGTCCCTGGTTGGTGATGCTTTTGTGATTCGGTGCTGGACTTTCTTGTAGTTTTGGGTCAGGATTTCGATTTCAGGGCTTATTGGCTGGTTAGGCGGACGATTTGCTATCAACAGCTTCCCCAGACCTCCGGCTGGCTGCTTCAATGCCCTTCTAAACGGCACCTAAGAGCAACCACCTAAACCCCCGCGGATGAGTTTCCGAAACCCTAGACCGCGAAAAACCTTAAACCCTAAAGACTGACAAACCCTGACAAACCCTAAACCCTGACAACTCCGACAGGTCCGAAAAACCCTAAACCCTGACACACGCTGAACCCTAAAGCCTACCTTAACCTACCAAACCCTACATTTTTGTAGGTTCTTATCATAAGCCCTAATATGAAATTTGTAGGGACCCTACAAAAAGGTAAGTTCTGGTGGGTTAAGGTAGTGACCGAACTTGTAGAAGGCATGAGCCTGGGACTTGGAAGTTGCTTCGGGTCGAAGGGAGTTTGCAGAGCTGAGGGTGCTTGGACAAGTAAAAGATATACGGTTTTGGGCTCCATTATAGTATACATACATATTACATACCTACACATATACATATATATATATATATATATATGTGGCCTATATGTAGGGATTTCTCCTAATTGTTCCGGCAGCTATATTCGTCGCTGCTAGCATGAGCGGGCCGACCCCGATTTTTCGACTCTTTCGGGCTCGGGGGAAAGAGAAAAAAAGTCGCCAAGAGCCCAGCTGCATTTAAAGAAAGCTACTGGGTTATCAGTTTCATGAGAAGGGTTAGGGTTGTAGGGTTTAGGGATAATAGGGCTTAGAAGTCAAGCGGAGGTTGGGTTCAGCTTCAGCAGAAATTGAGACAATAACCCACTACACAGACAACTGGGTTGCTCGGGAGTATACAGTGCTGTGGTCAGGCGGCTGCATCGGAAAGCCTGTGACGGTCGTTGAGCTGTCTCTTGTTGGCCACAGTATGTATACGACCCTAAACCCCAAACCCTGAATCCCACTTCCCGAAATGTGTGTACTCGGTGTCTCGGGCTTTGGGCCATGTATGTACGATAAGCTATAAACCGACAGCCCCAACACAGGCAGCCTCAGTTCGTATGGTCTGAGCCCCTTCGACCCCAAATCACAATATGGGAGTTTCCGAAAATTAGGGGTGCCTTGTTTTGGGGTCCTTATAATAAGGATCCTGCTATTTAGGGTACTATATTAGGGTCCCCTATTTTCGGAAACCCCCAAATCACAATATCAGTTCTAGTCACTCCTTGACTATAGATCAGCTCTTCGGGGACCAAACACCCTTCAATATGCA